GCTAGCCATAAGTTAACGGTTAAATGAACAACAAAGGATTATTTCAACACAATTGCTCAACAATTCTCATTAAAACATTCTCTCATTTGTGTCTTGTTTCTCAGGTGGGAAACATTTGTGTAAGTAACTACTGATTCCCAACTCGTGTTTTTTTGTTTTTTTTTTTTTGCCAATATTGTTCCCCTACTGGATGACGAGCCTGGATCTATGTTATTTTTATGCCAAATATTGTCCATTCTTTGGAGAAACCTAGAGAAGCTTCTTGGATAAGGTAGGGTTTGGGTTTAGGATTAGAGGGTGGGGAAATTCACAAGTGCTAACATTAAAACAAGCTTTCCTGGACTTTGGGAAAGACCAAAGTAGAATGTGATGTGCTCACTGACTGGCCATGAGATGGGGATGTGTGGAGAGGCCAGATGCGGGCAATAAGGTCCTAACAGAAAAGGGGCCCCATTGTGGGGAGAACAGACATGATGGCTAAATGAGAGAGTCCCTATTGTATTCTCTGAGGCCTGGGCCCCACAGTTTTCTGAGCATTGGGACGAACTGCATTCTGAGCAAGAGCACCCCTGGTGGCCAGGGATGGGATGTTAATGAGGTGAAGAGGAGGAACCACCACCAGAAAGAGCCTAGCTGTGTAGGATGGTGCAACCCCTGAAAGAGGTCACGGTGGGGAAAGCTCCTCCTAGCATATAGGAGGAGGCCTATAATTCCCATATTTCCCAAACAGAGTCTAGGCATGAGCTGGGGGTGAGAGGTGAGTCATGAACCAAGGACATTCACTCCCCAAACCTTCAGGGACAATTCATTACTGCTTTGCAGAGTAATGGAGGACATGAATTTTACTCTGATTTTCTCTAAAGAATGGATTTTCTTACAAAATCAAAGACAAAGAAAAAAATCAAATGGAGCATCAAACTTTAATTTAAGAAACCCATCCACTTCCCCATAAATTTGCTAGAGCTAAAATAAACAAAGGGCACATTTACTTGATACAAGATTTTTTTTTTTGTAAAGTCTATCTTCAATGTAGCACAAAATTAAATTCCTGCCTTACATGTTTCATTTGTATTCATTTCCCTCTTATTCTTGGGAAGACTTCCAAGTCAGTCATAGGGCCACAGATGTACAGTGTGCCTGAGAACCGTGTCCATCACCCAGGATATGCTAGGAAGGCAGTAAGACATTTCCACGAACACAGTGATCTAGTCTCCAGCAGTGCATTGTGATTTAAGCATGGGACTTGCTACTAAAAATTCCGAAACAGAGTAAGAAAGGGACCAAAGACACTTAGCCCTCTCTCCCACAGCCTTCATTCTCAGTTCCACCTTTAGAGCGCTGCCACTGGAGAGTTTAGATCTGGGTTGGTCCCCAACAGGGAAGTGTCCTGTCCTGGAGTCACCAAGCTAAAGAGTCTAAGTACATCATGTCAATCTAGGATATGGATGATAAACTACCTGAACATAAGAAATTAATTATAAGAATTTTTTTCTGAAAAAACAGAGTGTATTTTAGAGCCTAGTCTTAAAACTCAGGGTCATGAACCAAAGACTAAGGCTTGCTGGCAGTCTGTCCCATCACTGACGGCTAACTCCCAATGGTCCATGGCAGTAATGGGGAGTAAGAAGGAGGAGGCCAGAGCAGGAAAACCATTCTCAAGCTCCTCATCTCCCACAAACCTTCTGATAAGATCTGCTGTCAAAAAGCCCCAGAGCCTAGTTTGAGTTTCCCTAATTTTGCTGTCCTTGGTCACACCTAATAGGATAGCTGTTATAGAAACAGTGGGGTTGCCGGGAAAGCAAGAGCATGGCAGAAGACTCAGGTGAGTTACAACTGGACGATCAGAGCCTGACACACCCACATGAATCTCTTAGAAGTCACAGCCACTCGTAGGCAGACCAATCCTCTTGCCTGCATATTTTATAGTTCCTTTAAATCTGAAGGTGTTTTAGGAAATGTGCATCAATGTATTTAATTGTTTTTAAATCAAATTTAATTTAATTCAAAATGTAGCAATGCCAACAGGGCTCTGAGCAGAAAGACTGCTTTGCAAAAGTTAAAAATACACCACAAGGGGCGCCTGGCTGACTCAGTCAGTAGAACTTGCAACTCTTAATCTTGGGGGTCAGGAGTTCAAGCCCCACGTAGGGCATAGAGCTTACTGAAAATAAATAAATAAATAAATAAATAAATAAATAAATAAATAAATAAATAAATAACATCATGAAAGGTAGCCAAAGAAAATAATAGCCAAACTGAACTCAGATTATGTGTCCAACAGGGCTTTACTTCATACCTGCCTACAACAGGTACAAGATTAACAAGGCATGTTTCTGCCATCATTGGAAAACAGCAGGACTTAGGGGCATGAGCTGTCCAGGATCTGATATAAAAGTCTGCCACACAAAATACCACTCCTGGGATTCCTCAGTGGGCAATGACTGGGTGGTCAGTGAATCACCTTCAAAGCCAGAAAGGTGAGGTGCTACAAAGACCCAAACACTATAAATTGTATTTAAAAGCTAAGTAGAGGACATATGATGGCCTCCCTTTGACCACAACCTTACAAATGCAGAGAAAAAGTAATGATGCCCTGATCTGAGAGTCAGCCGAAGTCCTCTAGCTATATGACAACCATCGTGTGTTTTTAATGAGGTGGAGGAATTGTGTTATCCAGCAAGGGTCACAGATGACCTTGCAAGCATCTAAGCAGGAATTCTACTTTATTGGATTAATTACAGCCATTAAAACCCTTCAGCTACCAGGCAATGGGGTCCTTCAAAAATGGGTCCTAGATAGGTCTGTGTGGGTGGGTTACAGGAGACTGGGAAAAAGTCAGCATCAGAGGACAGTGCATGTACCCAGAAGGGAGCTGCCAGGATGTCACAGCCCGTGGTTCTTGCAACCTGTTCATAGATACTGGAGTTGAGTGATTATGAGGAAGAAGAAGGCCAGAAGCAAATTTTGGTGACTGGCCAGTTCTTGGCCACCAAGAGACTGATGGATTCCACTAGGATATAAGGCAGGGTTGGGAGAAGAAAGAAGAGGAAGAAACTAAGAGAAAGCAACAGGAGATGAGGAGGGAAGACTGAGAATAAAGTGTGGGGCATGCTGGAAGCCCTCCAACAGCCCCATGTGGAAACTACCCCTGAGGGTCTGCCCCCACTTTAAGCAGATGGAGACAGTGCATACTGCCATTTCCACTATTTTTCAAGTGTGTGTGGCAAGACCACACCTAAATGGAAAAGCAATCCAAAAAATTACAAGAAAGGTAATGAAAAAGCACCTTTGAGATCGTGGAAAGGAGAAGATTCAGGGGCGCGGAAACACCACACGCATCAGGAGTACAAAGACAGTGTGCACAGGTTCTCTGATGCACGGGGACTGAGCTCAGACCCAGCCCAGGTTCCAGGCTCTTCCTCAGTATGGCTGGACCGCAGCTGGTCCCCACCAGCCACTGTGTGTCTGTCCATGCCTGGATGCACCCCAGTGCTCTCCACTCTACAAGACCTGTCCTGGAGGACAGGGGAAACTGAGGCATGTGGTTAGAGCTGCCAGCGGGCAGAGACCCACAGCCCTTGGCAGTGCACAGTGTCACACAGGAACTGCACACAAGGATGGTTCTCACTCAGTACATATTTCAGCTTTCTCCCCACACGGCTCCTCTGAGATTGACCAAAGACAATCAGGAGACAGAGTGGAAGAACATTGTTAGCAAAGATTACAGCTATGGTCCCTGTTTGACATTCTATGAAACTGAAGCCTAGGAGTTAGAACCAAAATGACTGAGCTTTAGTTTTGGACTTTTTGTGTTTTTTGTTGTTGTTGTTGTTGTTGTTGTTTTTGTTTGTTTGTTTTTCTTGATTTTTTTTTATTCTTATGTTAATACCCATACATTACATCATTAGTTTTAGATGTAGTGTTCCATGATTCATCGTTTGTGCATAACACCCAGTGCTCCGTGCAGATTGTGCCCTCCTCAATACCCACCACCAGGCTAACCCATCCTCCCACCCCCCTCCCCTCTAGAACCCAGTGGGTTTTCAGAGTCCATCGTCTCTCATGGTTCGTCTACCCCTCCGATTTCCCTCGCTTCATTCTTCCCCTCCTGCTACCTTCTTCTTCTTCTTCTTCTTTTTTTTTTCCTTAGTTGTTGTTTTTTTTAAGTTTCCTTAGTTTCTGACTACTCTCTGGTGAAAAACATGGTATCAATCACACTTAAAAAATAACAAGTCAGGGGCGCCTGGGTGGCTCAGTTGGTTAAGCGACTGCCTTCGGCTCAGGTCATGATCCTGGAGTCCGGGGATCGAGTCCCGCATCGGGCTCCCTGCTCGGCGGGGAGTCTGCTTCTCCCTCTGACCCTCCTCCCTCTCATGCTCTCTGTCTCTCATTCTCTCTGTCTCAAATAAATAAAATCTTTAAAAAAAAAAAAAATAACAAGTCAGGAAACAGGAACCTCACTCAGATTCTTACAGCATTTAATGTATGGTGATTAACATAACAATAAAAAATTTTAAAAAAAGAAATATTAAAAGAACACTTTTGTAGCTTGGATATCATACCCTGTACTGACTACAAAGCTCTATTTGTTTCTGCTTTGTAATGTAGAGTGTTATGTTCTACCCGTTGCTACACAATCACTTTGAGGAAACATTACTACAAAAATAAATAAGTTTCTTTTTTCATTCAAAGCGAGGGAAAATAACAAGGACGCCCGAAGCACACCCACAAACCTCTTCCAAGAACACTTGCATTTGTCCCTGGGCTGGCAAGAATGCTTTGCTGATGATATCAAAGCCCTTTAATTTATCTACGATCAACCTGACTTAAACGTAGGGGAAAAAATACTCATTTTGTTCCACTTTAAATTAAAACAAGCTATTTTTTGTTTTTTTGGTACTGGGCTGTCTTTATTTTTCTTTGAACACAGGGGAATACACTATTCTGAAACCTTGTACTATTATTCTCTCTTGACTATAGAAAGGCAGCAAAACACATGATTAATCTCTGAGTTGCATTTTTAGAGAAGATTTTTCGAGAAACTATAATTCCATTTTCAAAAATAACCGCAAATTCCCACTTCTGACCAAGATGGAATAAAGGTACAGGGTTTACCTTCCTCTGTGAAACAAGTAAGAAACTGGAACAAAATACATTTTTAAAAAATGGTTTTCCAACACTGGACCACAAGGACCGAAGGAGAGGGGAATAAACAAGGTGAGCCTCACACCTGCCCCACTATATTGTCTGGAGAAAGTTGCTGGGCTGCAGATGGGACAGGGAACAAGGTCTCTCTAAGTAGAGGGGATGGAGCTGAGGGTCCAGAGAAGCCAAGAAAGCTGCAGTTTGCAGGGCAGAGTGCCAGATAGGGGAGAGCTGTCCAGTTGTGATAACTGTAATCCATGTGTTCAAGAAGCTACACAAAAGATTTAAAAAAATAAAGACCCAAATCAAACTTCCAGAGTTGAAAACTACAAAGTCTGAGATTAAAAAAAAACAAAAAACAACCCACTGGATGGGGAAAATTGAGAGAAAGCACAATGGAGGGCAGCAGAGGGTCCCCCTTGAGTTCTCAGCTGAGACTTGATCAGTGCTGCATGTGAGGAAACTATCCAAGGCCAGGAAAGAGCCACCTGAAAAAAAAAAGCAAAGGGAAGATGGTTGGAGTTCACAGAGGTGCAGGAATAGTCCTCGCTGTCACTGGCCAGGGTAGAAAATCTCTGAACTCAAAGGACACCAGGCAGAGTAATCTGATGGGTATTATTCTCAGTAGTAGAGAGAAAATGAGCCATAGATGGAAGACTGCTCTGCTCCTGCCCCACAAAGGTTACATACAGGTAAGGCTCTACAAGACTAAATTGTTTCTAAGTAATTTTACTACACTGAGAACAAAACTCAAGAACATTTATAGGAATTAACATCCAAAATATATAAAGAACTCATAAAACTCAGTATCAAAAAAAAAAAAAAAAGAGCCTGATTTAAAAATGGGCAGAGGATCTGAAAAGACATTTTTTTCAAAGAAGACATACAAATCACCAATAGACATGAAAAGATGCTCAGCATCACTAATCATCAGGTAAACAGAAATCAAAACCACAATGAGAGGGGCACCTGACTGGCTCAGTCTTGTGTGACTCTTGATCTTGGGGTTGTGAATTTAGAGCCTCATATTGAGTGTAGAGATTATTTAAATAAATAAAACTTAGAAAAAGAAAAACCCATGATGCAATATCACCTCATACCTGTCAGAATGGCCAGTATGAAAAAGACAATAGGGGCGCCTGGGTGGTTCAGTCGGTTAAGCGACTGCCTTCAGCTCAGGTCATGATCCTGGAGTCCCTGGATCGAGTCCCGCATCGGGCTCCCTGCTCGGCGGGGAGTCTGCTTCTCCCTCTGACCCTCTCCCCTCTCATGT